TGTCGTGTAGCAAATGCTATAAACAGAAATAGATGTTTTTTTTTTTTTTTTGCTTTTGTTTGTTTGTTTTTTGAGATTGATGTTTAATTTTCTTTAAGTACAGTGCCTTTGGGATCCATCCTGGTTATTGCATGTATCCATACTCAGTTCCTTTTATTGGTGAGTAGTATTTGGTTGTATGAATGTAGCAGTTTGTTTATCCATTCACCCCCTGACAGGTATTTGCATTGCTTTCAGTATTTCACAATAAATAAAGCTGTTATCAATCTGTGTGTAGGTACTTGTATAAACATAAGTTTTTATTTATCTGATACACACTGTTGAGTTATAAGAGTACCTTTTATATTCCAGATAAAGCCTTTTGTCTGATAAGTGGTTTGCAAATATTTCTTCTCAGTTTTAGCTTGCCTTTTCATTCTCTTAATGAGATTTGTGGTTTTCTTTTCTTTTTCTTTCTTTCTTTTTTTTGTGTAAAAAGTTTTTGATTTTAATGCAGTTTAAGTTGTCAGTGTTTTAAGGATATTGTCTTTGCTGTCATATATAAGAACCCTTTGCCTTGCCCTAGATATGGGAAATTTCTCCTATGTTTTCTTCTAACAGTTTAATAGTTTTTTATGTTTTACATTTTAATCATAGTCTATTTTTATTGTAAAGAAATATCTAATTTTATCATTCAGATTAGTATCTTTGTTTCCTGTGTTCTACAATTCTTTTGTTCTGTTTTTATATTCATCCCTATTTGGAATTAATTGTCATATTTCAGTTTCTATTAGCCTTTTGGTTATTTTGGCTATATCTTCTTTTTTGCCAACTCTACTGGTGACCCAAGAGATTATAATGTGCATCTTTAAAATATTGAACACTAATAGAAATTATTTAATTTAGGTTTACTGATGTGAAAATACTTCATAGATAATTGAATGACTTTATGACATTTAATCTCTTCCTGACTAATCTTCTATTGTGGTATATTTTAATTTTCTAGGTACTGTTAAGTAAAAATCCACTACTATAATTTTATATGGCCAATATTCATTTAGATTTATCATTTTCACTCTAATTTAGTTATTTCTTCTAATGCTGAGCTTGTATCTGTGATCATTATTCTTCCTAAAGAACATCTTTAGCGATTTATTCTGGTTCTGCCACTGGTGAATTTTTTCAACTCAGTTCATCCAAAAATGTATTTATTGAACTATTTTGGGAAATTTTTTTTTGTGGAAAAAAATAATTCCATATTGGCAGTTATATTTGTCTCTTCACTTTACAAAATTTTGTAATTTTGATTTTTGACTCCCATGCATCTGTTGAAAAGTCCACTATGCTCTTTTAAAATACTGTGTCTTTTCTCTGGCTCATATTAAATTTGCCTTTTGTTTGATTATCACTGTTTGACGATGATGCACGCAGTTACGATTATGTTCCTATTTATCCTGTTTTGGGTTTATAGTGTTATCTGAGTCTACCGTTTGGTATAAATATTTAATTTGAAAAATTATCATAATCTCTTTAATATTTGGTTTTCCACTATTCTCTTTGTATTCTCCTCCTGGGACTCCTATTACATTTCCATATTTTTCTTCTCAGAGGTTGCAAATATCTGCTGAAATACTCAGCCTTGTTTTTTTATTTGTTTGAATATATAAAAGATCATTTTTTAAATGTATGTGTCTGATAATTCTACTCTGTGGATCTTCAGTTTATCTCTTTTGAATGTCTGTTGTTTCTTTTGGATTTGATTACAATATCTTTACTCTTATTATACTTTTATATTTCTGACCTAGTGCAGGAAAATATATATGAACAACCTGTAAAGATAACTTGAGGCCAAGGATCATGTTACCCTCTATTCAAACTGATTTATCATCCTGTAGATGGACTAATGGCATTATTTGGCCCACGTCATCTTAATCCAATTGACTGAAATGATTTCGGGCTGAGCTTTAGTACCTGTAAAGACAGATCCATTTTTGCTTCATCATGGCTCTTAACCCAAATCCTGGAGATTTTATAAGGCCATTTCTGTCTTTAAAAGATGCCAACCAACAATTTTTTCCCCTTCATTCTCAGGCACCCTCAAAAGATTTAGTCTTCTTCTCAGGATGTTGTCAGATTTCAAATCCTAGAGTCAATCACTATTCTAGAATCCTGTTTAGAAAATCCTAATTCTCAATTCTCAGTGACTCAGTAGCTCTTTGAACCCTGAAAAACATTTTGATCAACTTTTCTTGCTGATCTCATTACAATGGTTTGAATAACTTAGAATAAAATTTTCCATTATATATTATTCATATAATGGTTAAATTAAAACAAAACAAAACAAAAACTTTTTAGTATTATGTTAGCTTCAATCGTTCTCATTCAGTACAAAGTGCTATTACTGTTGAGAAATGCTCTCATAATTTTAATAACTCTCCCATCATTAGAAGATTAAGGATGGCACTACTTTATTTTGTCAGTAATTTTCAGCAACTGTGAAATATGCCATTTATTTTGATTTCAACTGTCAATTGTAATTTTAAAAAATAAGTGAAGCCAACACCATCCCAATAATAATAGCACTAAAAAGTTTTATGTTTTTCAAGAGAGGATGAAATGCATTAATCCCAGTCTAAGCACAAAGATTCTAATCAGTTTGCAACAATTGCAGCTGTGTGTTTCAATTTATATTTCTAAAACATCTTATTGTCTTCTTCCTTTTTCAATTTAGACATATCCCAAGTTGAATATTCTACAGAAGTTCCAAAAAAAAAATCTCAATTACCTAGGATGCTTAATATCCTATGCCTAGTATCAGTTTAAATTTTACATTTAAAGCAACACATTAGTTTAATACAGTGATCATTCTATAAAGGAAAATCATGAAAATAATTTCATATTGGACATAAATTGGAATTTAAAAGTAGTAATATATATATATATATATTCAAAGTAAGAAGAAAGTCTATCTGCTTATTTTGAATATGTAATTTCTACTAAACTTTTGGATTATAATGGACTTCCTAGTCTTTATAAATTCATCTGATTTGTTAGGGCTTATAACTGGCATATTTGTTTATTTGGCTTTGGTTTTGGATTTGTTTCTTTTAGTAGGAGAAGAAAAATTCCTTTTTCAGAAGTGTGTCTTATTAATATTTGTCTATCTGGTCCTTGTTTTTATTTATTCTAAAACTATTTTCAGATTACTTTCTAAGTTTAATAAAACATTGCACTCTCTTTTTTTCTATTTGCACCCAAATATACTTTTTTTTGAAAGATGCATTGTCCAAAAGTTATTTTTTCTCATTCTCTACTTCTTTCAGGTCAGGATATCGCCTTCATACTTTAGTACTGTTTTAACCCCCATGTTTCAGCATGAACAATATTTGTGATAAAATATTGGGCCTCCCTGAACATATTACTGTAAGCCACCAGGTTCTCCTGATTTATTTTTAGGGTATGATGGAGATAAGACTGTAGTTTAATTTCCTGATCCAAAGAAACTTCATATTTGTGATAGCATTTTTATTAACTTAATAAAGAATGACAGGTGGTCAAGGTTAACTATTGTTCATAACATTTTTCATTACTGATATATTACTAGAGGATTTGCTCAAAATTAACTTGACTAGATCAGATGGCATTGAAATAAATATTTTAAATATTTTGTTTTAATAAAATAATTACTGTAATTATTCTGGAGTATTAACTAAACTCTATTATCAGACATTCAAAGTGGTAAACACTTTTTTCTTTACATCTGAATAATCAGGCATGTTTTATGCCATAAATTAATATAGTCTATCAGTAAAAAGTTGCTTTACACTGACTTTATCAGATGTTGCATATTTACCCTCATATAAAAGTCTTTCATGGCTAATGGGATGATCAATACTATTAAATGGAAAAAATATACCTTAAGAAACCTACATATATAAATGTTTATACTTGTGTGTACATATACACACAGATATAATTATGTATATAAAACATGCATATATATATCATATAATCTAACCATGTAGTTATACAAAGTTCTCATGAGAAATAAGAATATAATTTCTAATCAATGTGCACACCTGCATATTTGAGTAAAACATGTGCAGCTTTAAGTTTTCTTTCTTAGAAAATAATGAAAATTGGCAAAGACAAAGCAAAGCAGTAATGGCAGTTGAATATATCATTGTCATGTCTGCATTCTTTCTCTTTGAACACTCAGAGATAAATTATTTTCCTTTCTCTGTATGAATTCCAGAGTGACTTTAACCTGGTTTTAGTATCAAAACAAAACTAAATAATGGACCATCATAATATTTAGAAAACTATCAGAAGGCCAGTCAGCCAGTGAATCTTCACACAGCCTTGTTTCCAATTATCTTTCCAAATTTTAGGATTATGTCTCTATAGATCAGATATATCTCTCCATATATATGGTTGACTCTCAGCTCCAGAATTCAGAAGGCAATCCTTTTAACTACCTACTCAGACTCATTAGAATTAAAGTCTAAAATTTCCAGAAGAGAGAACTAAATTATTTCAATTTGAATCAGTGTCAAATCAATCAAATTCAAGATGACCTGGCCATGTAAATTAAAAAAAAAAAAAAAAAGTCACTGTAGGCCAATTCCATTCAGTTATAGGAACAGCTCACATAGAAGATGGAGTGTGTATGGGGCTGGAGAGACACTAAGAAATATGTTTATAATAGTTTGGTTAGTTAAATAAAAATTCCTGTGTACTATTTGTGAAGAAATCATTAGCTTCAATATTTATTTTTTATTTTAAAGTCACCATTTATAATTGTCTTGTCCTTAAGTCTTGGCTAGTTCTTGCAAGGAAGACTTCTTGTGAATTATATTAACACCCAGTATAATTCAATTTAAAGAATAGATAATGCCACGTGCACATTTTACCAGTTCATTCAGTAGGCTAAGTCTATAGACATGCTTATGTTTATATATAAATCTTAATAATATCTACAAAAGTTTATTTTTTGATTTAAATCACCTTCTTATTTTCAGGTATTTTTGGCTGAATACACAGGACCTCTGCTGATATATCTCCTCTTTTATTTGAGGATCCCATATATATATGATATGAAAGAGAGTTCTAGAAGATTCCGTCACCCAGTGGTACAGTAAGTAATACATTAGTACCTATAGATGAAGAGGAGATAAACTAGGACACGATATAATTTTAAAGTTTGTCTATAAACAAAATTAAAGTGGATTACATTTAAGAAACTATATCTTAAGTAACTTTAAATAATGTATACACACCAACTTGCAAATTTATATACAAAGAACTACTAGGTATACCTTAAAGTTGAGGTAATATAAGTTCATAATGATCACAGTAAAAGAAATCTGGAAATTTAGAAATATTACAAGAAGCTTAAAATTACAAAGTTGTGAGGTCATATATAAAGAGCTCAAGATATAAAACTAAATAAAATAAAATAAAATATGTACTTCTCATGGGCAACATTAATAGGAAAGAAACAATGGTTTTATAAGTTACCTTTAGTAAGTCAAAATCCAAGATAAATTTTACTTTAAAGTTAAAAGTAAAAGTAAAGTACAGAAAAAGTTGAGGGCGTTTATTACAACAATATATAGCATACTGTGAGAATAATCTCTCTCTGTGTCTCTCTCCCTCAGCTTACCAATTTAAAGATTAAGAGAATAATTATTATTCAAGATGCTACACTGAGATGTGTTGTTAGCAATTCGTTAAAAAAAAAAAAAAAAGAACCTGATTTAATGACTAAACTCTAAGTGAATTAAGAAACAAAATTTAGGTCTTAGGGATACTAGAAGATAGAGAGTGATTTGATTCCTGACTTTCTCATCTCAAATCAAGATTTCCCTTACCCTTAATATCTGTACCACAGCCACACTGACCTTTCTTGTCCCTGATACCTACCATGTTCCCTTTCATGGAAGGGCATTTACACATGCTCTCCCTCTTCCTCCATCCTGATTACCTCTTTCTTCTCTCTTATGTAAACTTCATGTAGAAGTTCAGTACTTCTTACTCATGGTAGCCATTCCTACTCCTTCCAATGCAAATATGCCACTGAAATATTTTTGAATATTATGATTGGAAAAAAGAATTGGACCCAAACTTATTTATGGATGTTCAATTAGTTTAGCACTGCACAGCGAAAGAGTTAATATTTGAAGGGAAATCAACCATAATTAAATAGAAATATTTGGAATGAAATCAAACATGGTAAGTGAGTTACCAATACTGTGTGAAGTGACATATATCCATATAATAAGATACAACTGTGTGTACTATGCTGGTATAACATCAGAAAAATAAGTAAACTAATTTAACCATAGCATGAACTAAAATTTCTCATTTAGTGCTCTGCTACATAGCTGGGCATAACCTCACTTTATGCTTTCTTACAAAGAGGAAAATTTTATCACTCAAGTATTTACTCCTACAAAGAACCAACAAGGTAGGAGAGATACTGATTCCCATATCAATCCTTTAAGCCTACAAGGCTTAAAGCTTCTCCTAAATCAGAACCTTTCCTTTTGCTTGTCTGTCTAGAAAGCTCTGCCCCTGGATATCCACACTTCGTTCTCTCATTTCTTGCAGAATTTGTCTATTATTTAGAGATATACAAACATTGAACGTGTCTCTCCACTTATAGGTGCACACTTATATTTTTTCTGAATTAATGAATAATAATAAATTCCCTAATGATTTAGGCAGATTGGTTTGTGTTTATTTATTTGTTTTCCCAAAAGTCACTGTTTTTATTAACCCGAAATCATTAATTTATTCTGTTAAAATAGACTCCCGTAAAGACTCGATGTTTGATTGTACATAGAGTAAATGAAATGCTGATTTTTACGTTCAAACTTTATTGGTGTAAGTGTGCAATTTTTGATCCATATTGATTTTCTTGAATAGCAACCACAGTTTTCAAAGTTTTATATTTTTAACAAAATCAGTACTGATTTTAACAGAAATATATTTTAAGAATAAGCAAGAAAATATACTTGTGTAAATCATGTCTGACATTTACTTTTTTTTGTTTTATCTTATGTTAATCACCATACACTACATCATTAAACACCCAATGGTCCATTCAATACATGCCCTCTTTAATACCCATCACCAGGCTAACACATCCCCCCACCTCCTTCCCCTCTAGAACCCTCAGTTTGTTTCTCAGAGTCCATAGTCTCTCATGGTTCGTCTCCCCCTCCGATTACCCCAATTCATTTTTCCCTTCTTACTCCTTTTTTTTTTTAACATATAATGTATTATTTGTTTCAGGGGTACAGGTCTGTGATTCAACAGTCTTACACAATTCACAGCGCTCACCATAGCACATACCCTCCCCAATGTCTATCACCCAGCCACCCCATCCCTCCCACCCCCCACCACTCTCGCAACACACACGACATCTACTTTTAAAACAATAGTTTTATAAATGCCAACAAGAGTTGCTCAATTAGAAAAACAAAAACAAAAACAAACACACAAAGAGACAAACAAAATATTACAATTTGTTAGGTAGGCAAAAACCAAACATAAAACAAACCTAAACAAAACAAAAGCTGCACGGACTCCATAAAAAGTGAAATTCAAACCTTTTCAATGTATGGTTCTTGCTAAAGGACAACCAGACAATGAAAAAGTTATTCTGAATATTATAAAATGTCAAATGGATTCTAAGTAGATTTTGGGTATTTTTAAAATTTGTAAGTATTCCCCTCTGGCAACCAACAGTTTTTTCTCTTTATTTATAGGTCTGATTCTGCTTTTTTGTGTGTTTATTCATCTTTTTTTTTAGATTCCACAAGAGTGAAATCATATGGTATCTTTCTCAATCTGACTTATTTCACTTAGCATAATACCCTCTAAGTCCATCCATGTTGTCTCCAACGGCAGAGGGGAGAAGAGTGAGGGATCAGGCAAAATGGGTGAAGGGGAATGGGAGATACAGGCTTCCAGCTATGGAATAAATACGTAACAGGAGTAAAAGGCACAGCATAAAGAATATAGTCAATTATATTATATTATAATAGCATTGTATGATGATAGATGAGAGTTAAAATTGTGGGGAGCATAGCATAATGTAAAACTTGTTAAATCACCAGTTATACACATGAAATTAATGTAACATTGTGTGTCAGGTATACAAAAAAAAAAAAACTTGTACATTTTCTGCTTAATTCATGTGGCATTTTGATATGAGTACATTTATAATTATTATATATTTATTCCTCGGTAGGGGTGAACATATAGATTGTGACTGGTATTATAAGGTATTTTGAATGTCACCGAAAGTAAATTTATAGAGACTGTTGTGACAGTATTGTTACTGTGAAACAAATTTAGAATATTTCTAGAATAAAAATATTAAAATAAACATTAGTGTTTTTTTATTGGAAACATTTCCTAATAAATATAATATTGTAGTCAACTAACAAAAAATGTCTTATGTGTAAGGCAAGCCAGACCTTTAGAAGGGGACTTAATATGTTCATGTTTTATTTTCTTTCAAGCTTGGCTTGCTTCTGTCATTGTATACACTATATCCGATATCTTTTGGAAACCTTATTTGTTCATAAAGTTTCTGCAGGACATACACCTTTGAAAAATTTGATAAAGGTGAGGATTGACACGTTTTGTAATTTTAATTATTATTGAGAAATTTTGTGTATTGGGTCATCCATAAAATGATACAAAATCATGTTTATTTTCCTTATGCTTAGAATTTTCTGTTCAACTGTGTCAGCATACCTTAAACATCCGCTCCTGAGATGCCACTTCCTGAGTGACCTATTTCACTGGAGCTGTGTTCAACCAATAACCCTACATAAAAGATTTGCCATGGCCTTTTGTTACAAGCCCTGTATTCTCTGGTATCTTTAATTTTGGAAATACTTAGCACTGAATTCAGATTCTTTAAGTGCCGCTTGAGGAGGGTGGATGTCATATATGAACCCTCCTGTAAAAATACATCTGTGTGATAACAATGATGAAAACACACCCTGTATTTATGACAGTTGTCAGTGTGATGACAGTGTCTTTGCTCTTCCAAAAGTGGTGAATGCAGGAGTTAATAACCATCCCATCAAATAGCTGTCAAGAATACGGGAAGTTTTATGAAATATTGAAGTGGAAATGTACATTGGATGACATGCTGCAATTCAATTTTCCAGTTCTAATTCCAATTTATTTTAATTTCCGATTTAAAGTTTACTTTCAATAGGAAATCTTTCCTTATTAAAAAGTTGCTGTCTTTTTTGACAAATATCTGTTTTGTAAAAGTTTCAACAAGTCTTTCTATTGTTGTCACTGTAATAAAGCAAATAAACTCCAAGACTCTTAGAAACCTCAAAAATCATTTAGACTAGCTTCTATTCTGGCAGAAGATATGAAAATTTATCATATCAATACAAGGTCAGTATTATAGCCTAGGACTTTTTGAATTAGGTTGTTTCCCTTTACAATCTATCAAGATATGTTTTACTAACGATTAAATAATTCATTATCTTATTCACTTACTGTTGGAAAATGAGTATTAGTATATTTTATGTAGTACATTATTTATTATTTTATTACTTCATTTATATTTATTACTTGATAGTCAAAGACTACTCTTGAAAAATATTCTAAAATACAGTGTTACATTTGCCTTATAACCTAAGTACCCATTTATATTAATAAGGTTAATGCCTTTCCTTAGTGATATCAAATAGGTACTTGTAAAATGCTACTTTATTGGGTGAGGAGTCATTTCATTTATCTTGCTTAGAACATACCATTTTTCATACAAAAAAAATAAGCTGCAGTGTGGCATATAAGTATATGGGATGATTTCAAATGATATGATAGATTTTATATATATTCACTAACTTTTATTATGTTTTATTTGTAGGGCTGTGCCTTTTATTGGGGATTTACTTCTTGGATTGCCTACTACATTAATCACCCACAGTATACACCACCATGTATGTAAGATTTCTTTTTAATTAAACACATACTAAATTGCCAACATCAAAACTCTCTTCTACACTACACAGAAATGATGAACAGCCTGGCACACTTAAAAAAAAGAAGTAAATAATGAAAAAGATGTCAATTTTTAAGAGCTTCCATATCATACTCTATTACATTTTTATGTAGATTTAAAAAAACAAATTTGACCGACATACTTTGATTTATTTTCTCTCCATAGGAACTCTAGCAAAAATATGAGTTGATTGTAAACCTCCAAAATGACAGATAGTAAAATGAAAGAATGAAGATTAAAAAGAAAAATTCCATATAGTCACAAAATCAATCGTATAAAATCAGCTATCAGGATTTTTAAAATACACAATAATTATGTAATTATTATATTAAATGTAATTCAATAAGAAAAGATAGAAGCAATTTGTTTCTGTAACATACTGTTTTCTGTTTATAACTTTATTAAAAGTCCTGACCATTGACTCAGATGAAGCATTTTGGTGGAAAACACAATGGACCAAACCTAAATCCTCATTTCATAAAAGTGAAGAAAAATAGCTGTCCTTGTCAAAGAATTCATTTCTTTTATTTGCTGTGGACTTTTCTCTCCTCAGCTTTTACTGCAGCCCTCAAGGCACACACAAAGCTACAAGGGTGCTACAAGGGTGGAGGTTTCACATTTTATTGACAGTTTTTTTGTGTGTGGTCTATTTCTGGTGTTTATGAAGTTTGAAATGGAAATGAATGGAGTAGTCAAGCTTTATTTTAGATTTTATAAAATAAGTTAAACCATATTAATATCTGTGCTTGAAGTACCAACAACAAAATCTTTACTAAGATCAGCAAATCTAGTTGAGTGTGCTAAAAGTAAATCATTGCAATGTTCAAAACTTTAATTCTTCTAAATACCAACAATTAACTATGAATATTGAAGGGGAAAATTTCTTAATATTATATAAAATTTTTTTAAAAAAATATTTTATCAGAAGATGTACCTACTAACGTTAGAACATTAATGGACAGATATTTTTGCTCCACAAGGTGTTTAAGAGGAACCTCTGAAAAATGCTACATTCACGTATCTGATACAAAATAATAGAAGCTGATTGTTATTAACATATGCAAAATATTTATCAAAAACTTAATGTTTGTCAATAATTGTAAAATATCTGTTTCTTTTGTAAGAAGAAACATTTTTATGTAAGTGCTAATATTCCCGATTATGATTAGGAAAATGAGGACCTGAAAGTCTAATTTTCCTGTGCTCAAGACTCTTAAATGCATAAGATGTAAGTAGGACTTAAATTCTGTGAAAACGTATATAACATTACAATACTGATTCCAACCGGAAAGTGAATAAATATCATGTCTAGTCTTATTCTCAACAGATTTGACTGCATAAAATTAATAGCATCTGTACATTTTGACACACTAACTTGAATAAAATACTACATATTATTATTATGTATTTTCACCACATATACCATTAAGGAAGTAATTTTTTGTACTTCTTGAAAATATTTTAAAACAAATAGAAGACAAATTATGATAATTAAAAACTGCCCAATGGCAAGAATATTCCATTAACTATAAACTGGCATGCATATGTTCAGAAAACTTAATACATAAATGTTAGTATCAGCAGCAATCAAATAAAAACAACCTGTTTTTCTTTCTTGCCAAATGTAAAATATTATAAAAATTATAAAAATAATACAGAAAGTTTAGGGAGGCCTGGGTGGCTCAGTCGGTCGAGCCTCTGCCTTCGGCTCAGGTCTTCACCCCAGGGTCCTGATATTGAGTCCTGCGTGGGGGGGGGGGGTCCTTGCTCAGCGGGGAGTCTGCTTCTTCCTCTGCCCCTCCCCTCTGCTTGTGCTCGCTCTCTGTCTCTTTCTGACAAATAAATAAATAAAATCTTAAAAAAAAATTACAGGGCTCCTGGGTGGCTCAGTTGGTTAAGCGACTGCCTTCGGCTCAGGTCATGATCCTGGAGTCCCGGAATCCAGTCCCGCATCGGACTCCCTGCTCAGCAGGGGGTCTGCTTCTCCCTCTGCCCTCTTCCCTCTCGTGGTCTCTGTCTCTCATTCTCTCTCTCTCAAATAAATAAATAAAATCTTTAAAAAAAATTACAGAAAGTTTTAATGATGGCTAAAATTTTTTATAGAAAGTTTGTTTCAAATTACAGTATCTGTAGCTTTGCTTTTTGGAAATAAACATTAAAAATATTTAAAAATTATACTCTTTGTCCCTGTACCTGTTTTTATCACATCATTATTTATTCTTATTAAAAAATGAAAACAAGGTATATTTTCACTGTCCTGCTACATGAAATGTTCTGAACCCCTCTCTTGTCTATTTAATATCTTTTCATTTTCTAAATCAGAGTTCAACCATGTACTCAGAGAGTCCTCCTTGATCTCCCTGATTAAATCCTTCATTTTAGCTCTTACATTAAATACTATATAGGCCTTTCTTAGTAAGGCCAGCACTTATCAGGGTTGCACACTTCCCTTTGTTATCTTGCGATTATTATTTGTTTCCTTGTTAGACAGTAATTTTTATTAAGATAAGAGTTGCTTTTGGCTTAGTTTATAATTGATTTTATCACAAGCACACATTATAGTGCCTGTCCTATAAATTCCTAATAGCTGTTATTGAATGAATAAAGTTTTGTCTAGAAGTAGCATAAATAAAAAATATATATATTTTGATTTAGCTAAAGAAGAATGTTTAATTATATGGCAAATGTTGCTTAGTTATATGGCAAATATAATATTAAGGAATAAATGATTATAAAAGTGTTTTATAAGATACTGTAAAAAGTGTATAACAAATATGTATATTTCCAAGGGAAAATCTGAGTTTTAACTGATTTACCATGGATAATGGGATTTTAATGTATTTTATTTCCCTTTACATTTTTATCTATTTTCCAAATTTTCTCCATTAATGTATTAATGTATTTTATTTCAATATTAGATATATGTACTTTATAAAAACAAAACATTCAATACTTCTACATATTTTATATATATGCTTTATGGATATATATATATGTATATGTATATATGTGTATATATACATATATCCGTGCATAGATACTTACATAACTTTTGACTAAATTATCCTTAAAATTCCTAACCCATGGAACTTCCATAAAAGACTTATAAAGAAAGATATTTGAAGTAGTATTTATCATACAAAAAATTAAAGTAGCACTAATTATGCAGCAGTGAGATGATATTTAATGTTTTTAGAGCTAGCCACGTTATACATTATGATGGAGATATTGTCATAGCTTTTACAATGAACGTTTAATAGGGGCGCCTGGGTGGCTCAGATGGTTAAGCGTCTGCCTTCGGCTCAGGTCATGATCCCAGGGTCCTGGGATCGAGTCCCGCATCGGGCTCCCTGCTCCTTGGGAGCCTGCTTCTCCCTCTGCTTCTCTCTCTCTCTCTCTCTGTCTCTCATGAATAAATAAATAAAATATTTAAAAAAAAAAAAAAACAAAAAAACAATGAACGTTTAATAATATTAGAAATGCCTTTAAATATATTCTTTTAAAATATGCAAGATTTAAAATGAGACATTATAATTGTGTAAATGTGTTTACATAAATACAATGTATATGCACACACACAAAAGTAAAAACAAAAGAAATGCAACTGTTAATACAGATGATATCAGAAAATTTTATTTTTAGTACTTTTGGATATTCCACCTTCTTTACCATGAGAAAGGTAACCTTAAGACACTGTCTAAAATTCTATTTTATTCCTTATTCTATATAATTTGGGAACATGTAACCTAAATTTTTATTTACTTTAAGATGAGAACATTAATGCTTGCCTCATATATTTGTTTTTAGATGAAAAATAAAAAAAATTTAAAATATTACCTGTTATAAAATATCAATGCAAAAAATAAAAGTTTTTATTAGCATGTTTTTTTGTTGTTAAATGTTAAAAAGCAAGAGTTATCATTGGGTGCCATCATATATTATGCCATATGATGTGCTTTTAAGGTGACAAATGAAAGATTAAATCTGCCTTCAAAGAGCTTAATAATACAAATTAAAAATAGATTCCTTTTGTATTCTAAATATAATTAAGTGACTAGAAAAAAAGTATATGTTGATAGCAAAAATATTTTCATCCCTTTAGATTGCAAATGTGCTATCCCAAAGGGTCAATTACATACACCACTGTACTTTGGATTAGAGGATAGTAATATCCAATAAACATTGCTTAAATTATGTTTATAGTATGGCAGTCCAAAATATGAATGTTTGCATTACATCTTCTTTTCTTACTTTCTAGCATTTGGAAACCGGCAAGTCACAGTATCTGCTATCAATTTTTTGGTATGTATTATTTATATTACTTGCATTCAGCTCTAATTGTAGTACTAATTAAGAATGCAAAACAAATTATATTTGAGGATTTCACATGTAGAAATATCATCTATTTTTATATTATATACTTAATGATATTTAGTAGAGTAAGTCAATTACCCCGAATCAAGTTATTAGCTCTCTAAATTTTTTTTAGCTCTCTAAATCTTTTAATCAAAATGTTCTACTCATCTATGAAAGATGATTAGAATAATTTGAAATCTAGTAAAATTTGAAAAAAAAATCATAGTAATTCTTCCTATTGTCTATATACTTACAAACCCCTAAGAGCAAAAAGTTTTATGAGTCTAACAGATGAACATCTAAAAGACTTTTTGGCATATGAAAACAGTCTGCTTTTTTGAATGAAAGTTAGGTCTTTTCTAAGTGTTCTGAATCCAGTTATTTAGATTATTTTATTTAAATATACATATGTATTGTTTGAATTGGGTACACATCAATCTGAGTACAACAGATTATTTATCATTTCTGAAATGCATTATTTCATTAAACACATATTTTGCTTCATACACCATATAATTCCACCATATAACCCATGCTTCTATTCTTTATTCACGTTCTTCCTCATTCTTGTCCTTGATAGATTAACTTCCATGATTCCTGTCCCTGATGCATTGATGAAATCTCTTGATTCATATATAAGTCTATATCCTTTGTGAAGCTGGTATTGAATAACTTATGCCCCACCATTTCATACAAGGCATAAATCACAAAAACTTTGTTAAAACCTCTCATGTGAACCTGTGTGTGTACATGTGTGTATTTTAATTAATACTTTAGTTAATTACATCCTCTACATGTTGGCTGTGGCAGGAGCAGGTCCTGCTTTAATATTTTTAGCACCTAGTTTTGTGCATATTAGAAACACTCCTTGCTTTAGTGAATAACAAAAATCATTTCTTTATTTATAACTTCTTAAGCAAATATATTGTCAATATATCATCACCTTTTAACTTTCCACATGTGTATATTATTCATAGATTGCAGGGCTTCAGTTTATTTATTTTTATGCCTTTATAGTTAACCTACATTGTACCAAGTCAAATGACTTCTGTATATTAACTACTCAGTAAATTTGAGCAAATGGAAGAATTAATTAGTGGATAAACAAAACAATAACCACGTATTTGGTCTTTATTTTTATATATTTTTGGATTCATACCTGATTATTTTTCTCATTTTTATCCTCCTTATAATGTTAGCCACTATACATTTTTGCAACTTGTTTTCTGTTATTTCTGTGTAAATATTTACACATCTCCCATTTTATATACTATTCTTGATTTCTTTCCTTTTCTCTAATGTGTTATAGCTATGAATCCATGGCTCTAGTATAAAAGAAAACTTTCAAGAAAAGTTATAGTTTTTTTATTTTTTTTAAGATTTATTTATTTGAGGTGGGGGAGCAGAGGGAGAGGAAGAGAAAGTTTTAAGCCAACTCTGCCCTGAGCACAGAGCCTGATTTGGGGCTCGATCTTATGATCCTGAGATCAGGACCTGAGCTGAAACCAAGAGTCAGATGCTTAACTGACTGTGGCACCCACGTCCTCCAAGAAAAGTTATTACTTTTTAAAACACTTGTCTTAGCAGTTATAATATTTTTTAAGTGAAAAAAGAGGCATAATTGAAAACAAGCAAAATTCTAAAGGTTTGCAATATACATTTTCCCCCAAAGACTTCTAAAGACGTTGCCTCCTAATTAATCTACTAGTGCTTAATATTCACACATGATTTTATTAATCAATGCTTTTTAATACATTTCACATGGGGAAAAAATAAGAAGGAGAATTAGGCAAGTCATAAAACTTTATCAGAGTTTCTGTCTTATAAAGGCCAAGGTGTCAAAATAAACAAGTAGTGATAAATAGCATTGACTAAATCCAATACAGACAATAGTTAAGTGTAATAACTTTAATTCCACATTTCTAAGCACATAACAGATATTGACTGTTCCAATCATAGACTTAAATTAAGATTAAAAGAACAACCTGTGCTTTTAATTACAGATAGTATTGAGTATATGAATAAAGCCTTATGTAAAAGTCAAAATTTTGAATGCAATTGTATTCTGTTGCAAATAAATTCAGAAATGAGACAGAGGGGTCACGCGAGTCTCCTAAAATTATAAATTGTGATGACAAATTAAAAAGTCCTGCTAGCCCCGAATTTCTTAATAATGTTTCATGTAGGCAGAACACATTTACTTTTCACAAATAAAATATGATATTAAGAGGTAAGTATTAAGAAACTGATTCTCATACTGGATATAACAACAAATGAGTTGAGTTTGCACATACATCACCTAAATTGAAGATGCCTACCATATCTTTGTGAGCATAACATTCTATATTTCAAGGTTAATTTTTTTTTCATCACAATAACTGAATGTCTACGTGTGTGCTTTTCACATTTATCATAAGAAATGTATATGCAAACGGTTCGGAAAGAAAAGCACGTATGTTTAAGTCAAGTGCTTTTAAAATTATTTTATATTATCAGCATATAATATAGTCAATTATTATTATGTAGAGGAAAAAGAGGGGAAATTCATAGGCCAATCTTGTATAATATAAAGTTTAACCAGAAAATGCCTATCTTAATTGAAAGTGTTAATTTCTCTGCTAATGTTTGCAAAACTTCCTGTTCTTCATTTTGTTGGTATATGCACCCTCTTAACATAAGAGAAAAGCATTATCCGTTTAAAGTGGATTTTGCTTCTGCTGCTGTGTAGAGCCAGATTATCACCTGGTTAGGAGGTAATACAGCGCAATGTGTGAAACATGGTCTTAGTTAATTCTTAATTACTCATATATGAATCATCCATTTTGTGGACTAACCATTAATAATTATAATTTTCTCTTCTGCTCCCTCCTCTTTTATTTTTAGTCTAAGTTTTCTAATATAATAAGCAAAATCTATTGTAAGCAAAACAACACACATTACAATGCATACTTAAAGTATTCCAAAGGGAGGTATAATTCCTTGTGGAAAATCTTTGATTTTGGTGAATTTTGTCATGTAGATACTATATTCTGAGAAGTATTTTATCACCTCCCCCTTTGTGTAAGTTCTTTCTGACTTTCAACATGACTTTGTTATCTCAAGTATGTTCTGATATCATAAAATCTACAAGTGAAAAAATCAAAGAAGTAGAATCAAATATAGGCAAATTTATAAAGACATCAGTGTACCTTTCACAACTTTTAGATCTTTGTTTTTCTGCTAGAAATATTGTAGAGATACGCTATAATCCAGTCTCTTCATATTTCTGTGATCTCTCTTTTTTTTTTCTTTTTTTTATTCTTATGTTAATCCCCATACATTACATCATTAGTTTTAGATGAAGTGTTCCATGATTCATTGTTTGTGCATAACACCTAGTGCT